TATATAGGTACTACATGTGGACCTCTCTCAGATTTGTTCATTTTGTAATGATATCTTCAATTCTCTAATTTTGGTGAATATTTTGTCATTTTTGGTAAAAAGTGATATTTTCGACTTCTTGTTAAAAACCGCAAGTCCAATTGCTTTGATATTACATATATAGGTACTACATGTGGACCTCTCTCAGATTTGTTCATTTTGTAATGATATCTTCAATTCTCTAATTTTGGTGAATATTTTTGTAATGTTTGGTAAAAAGTGATATTTTCGACTTTTTGTTAAAAACCGCAAGTCCGATTGCTTTGATATTACGTATATAAGTACTACATGTGGACCTCTCTCAGATTTGTTCATTTTGTAATGATATCTTCAATTCTCTAATTTTGGTGAATATTTTTGTAATGTTTGGTAAAAAGTGATATTTTCGACTTTTTGTTAAAAACCGCAAGTCCGATTGCTTTGATATTACATATATAGGTACTACATGTGTATCTCTCTCAGATTTGTTCATTTCGTGATGATATCTTAAATTATCTAATTTTGGTGAATATTTTGTCATTTTTGGTAAAAAGTGATATTTTCGACTTTTTGTTAAAAACCACAAGTCCGATTGCTTTGATATTACATATATAGGTACTACATGTGGACCTCTCTCAGATTTGTTCATTTCATGATGATATCTTCAATTATCTAATTTTGGTGAATATTTTTGTCATTTTTGGTAAAAAGTGATATTTTCGACTTTTTGTTAAAAACCGGAAGTCCGATTGCTTTGATATTACATATATAGGTACTACATGTAGACCTCTCTCAGATTTGTTCATTTCATGATGATATCTTCAATTATCTAATTTTGGTGAATATTTTTGTAATTTTTGGTAAAAAGTCGTATATTTTCGACTTCTTGTTAAAAACCAAAAGTCCAATTGCTTTGATATTACATATATAGGTACTACATGTGGACCTCTCTCAGATTTGTTCATTTCATGATGATATCTTCAATTATCTAATTTTGATGAATATTTATGTCATTTTTGGTAAAAAGTGATATTTTTGAATTCTTGTTGAAAACAGCAAGTCCGATTGCTATACATAATATACATATTGTTCATTTTCTAATGATATCTTCAGTTCTTTAATTGAAATGTGCCTTGCTAGCAGCGGAGCTATCTCAGCCGAGAGGCTGCTTGTTAATGAGTTGAATATAAAATATATAAAAAATAATGGATATTTTTCACTAAATCATTCCTTCAGCAAAAATAAAATATTTACAGTGGAACAAGCAATCGTTGTGGTGCATGTATTCATATCAGATTCAGAAGAAGTCCCCTGAATGCATTATTATGATTACCATATCATTGACGCTGCAGGTTGGCGTCTTCCACACCGTTCTGTTGCATATCGTGCAAGGTGTGCTGGGAGTTTGTTTGAAATTTCGAACATTTCAAAGTCAATCGTCGATTGCCACGTATTTTACTGATATATTAAATTGTTTCAGGGACCTGTTTACTAAATATTGATAAATGAAACTTAGAAAACTTGTAAGAACAAACTGGGCCCAAATTGCACAAATTTGCAATAAGATTACGCTGCTAGTGTCTGGTTCGGAAGTTCTACGCGTGATTTTATCGCGTTCAAGAACGTTCTATTTTCGAACTACCGGTAGTTGAAACCGGAAATTACGCAAGTAATTCAAACACAAATTTAATTATCGTTATCGTGTGTTATTTCCAAGATTAAATTATTTATGACATTAATATTTCACTCACTAAACAATATTTCATGAAAATACGCGATTGAAAAGCAACTTAAATTGGAAAAAAGATTATCAAGTTCCGCGTATAAACACTAGTGTAAAAAGGCGGTGGAGCGCTATTTTAGCCAAAATCGGCTAGTAAGGCGTCATAAGGCACAGGTCTGTGCTGGGACAGCGCTTCCTGTGATGACACAACGTTTCCATATTTTTAGTTTTTGCAATATGTCAACGACAGACATGTGATCATATTTTACTGATTCGCATTTATTGTACGCTTTTATTGGAGATGTGCTTCTAATAGAGCAAATACAGAATATTATCAGACTTGAGGGACTTTTGATGGGTAAACTGAGAACAGTCTTCTCAAGGTAGAGTGAACCAAGTGAGTATTGGTCACCAAATCCGGGAGGAGAATAACACACTGGAGAAGAGCACTTGTAGCCAAGGTGTTTATTGCTCAACTGCTAGGCCTGGAACTGAGTCTAAATACTCATGAGATGTTCCATGACAATGTATCAATATCATTATGCAAATAACTAAACTAAACGTCATAGCCTCAAATCATCACATGATGATTAAACTAAATGTCAGGAATAAATTTGTCCGGGAACCCACCCATGAAAATTCTCCTTAAGGCATTTATGAACTGTGTCTGTAGATTCTTTATTTGTGTTTCATAGTATACCAGACCCTATCATCAGATTCGCACGGCTCAGCTGAAGCCGACCTACAATGGCGGTTTATATTAACATGCGTGTGATCATGCTAGAGAAAGCTGTATTTGACCAAGGAGCTGATCCATCAATCAACATTACTGCCTCGACAACTCGTATCAATTTTAAATTTTGTCGTCTTATATCACGTCATAGCTTATCTGACAAAAACATGTGACTTCACATCACAATATTTGATTTTATGTTTCATTTACCATGACAACACATCAGAGTATGCCCCATTGTGTTCGATTTCGTCAACAGTGAATGGATCAAAAGTGATTAACCAATTAGTTAAGATTTTAAATCGTTTTATAATTCGTGGGTAAAAAAAGTTATAAATGTAATCACTATGATGATGTTATCTGTGGTCTGTAACATCTGGCAACACAAATTTGAATTACAAAAAACAAGGGCATTTTCTAAATTTGACAGTGGGGGCGCTTTTCAAAATGACCTGGAACACAATTTTAAAGAATACTATGTATGCAATATACTCTTGTGTGCAAAGCACACAATGGAAGTCTTTGCAGTTACCCTGTCTGTATGTATGTATGTATGTATGTATGTGTGTATGTTTGTTCCACCAGTATCTCAAGAACCTCTTTGGATTTTGATGAAACTTATATATAGATACTCTGGGTTAATGCACAGACATATGCATATTAATGATCTCATTTACATAATAATGAGCTAGTTTTCAGCTGTTCCGCTAATTCCTCATACTGTTCAACATATTTCAATGAAACTTAGTACACAGATGTATTGGGATAACTTTCTCGTACTCTATTTGAAACATGTCTCACATGATGAATGAAATGCAACAGTTGTGGCAGATATTTCTCACAAATATCAGAGATCCAAGCATTTCCATAGATTTATTTGGCTGTAGCATCACATGGTGCAATTATTGTCATTTCATTGTGATTGGTAATTAAATAGTAATTTCCATCCCAGAATTTACCACGACACACTTTTCAAGTTTGTGGTCTATAGTGCATTCACATGCCCAAGTTGAACAGTATGGGGTAATGATGTGCATTTACATTTTAGTATATATACACTGATAGTCAGTCTCAGTGTTTAGAAATGTTGCGTACAATTTCTGGATGCCCCATGGTTGTTGAGAATGTGAATAAGATTGATTTTACAGCACCCGTCGCATTTGCCCATTTTCTAGCAGGTGGTATTGCAAAAAAAAAAATAATGTTTTAGCAAAAAAATAAGATGATCTATCTGTGGGGTTCAACTACTGTAAAATCTGTATTAAAAGCTGTGGCTTCTATTAAAATGGTATAATGCAACAGAGGGGATGCGGCTTCTATTCAAGCATCTACACATACGAGAAATGGTGAATTTTTGGTCTGAATTGTTCAAAATATTAGATGCAACTTTCATTAGGGATGCAGCTTCTAATACAGATTTTTCAGTAATAGCATCTGCAAAAATTGGCACATTCAGTTTTACATCAATTTGTTTTTCCATAGGGATAGGCAGTATTAACTACGACAGACCTTGCAATGAGGAGTGTTTCGCAGCATTTGTACAAAAACTTCTCCAATCTCCCGAGTCACACTGCCAAGAAGTGTATTATTATGCGCAAATTATGTATGCATTGGTTTGCCGATGGTTGCTGTCAGTGGTGGAGGAAAATGAAGTAGATTACATGGACAACATGGAAAACAAAGTTCAAACAGGTATGAATTGTGTTACTAAAAAATTGAGGCACGGAGATTTGGCAGATTGCTTTCTGACAAAATTTTTCCTACAAGTTGAAATAATTGATGTCCTATAGTAATCTTTACATTCAAATCTTTATTATTTTTCAATTCAAAATGGCTTCCCCCAAGACTACATGTATTCTGATTTGATATGAGGAAGCTGTAAATCTTTGTTGCCATGGAAGCAAAGGGTCTAGGTATAGTTTTAACACTCTACCAATAATTTGAAACATTTGTTTTCTTTGATTTACTTGAAATTCTATTTCAAAATGTTAGTTATCATGCAGAAGGAACAATACTATTTTTTGGAAGGTGCCAAA